TAAAAATAAAATTAACGAGAAAGTTTCTCCTATCTTTTGTATCTAATTTAATATCTATTTATGGAGGGTAGAGGTAAGGAGAGTAACATCTCTATATATGAAAAGTGTCCGTCGAAATGCATGCAATTCGGGTGGCGCCACAGTACGCAGAGTGTCAATTTAAAAGTAAGTGCCAAATATTATTAGAGTAGGATTGAGAAATAAACAAGGAACACAAATTTCACAATACAAATTTTACCCATAACTGTTTTGTTATTCACATACTTTTTCATAAAATTAAATGATAAAAAATCAATAAACGTACTATTCACAGTTCACGAAATAAAATCACTCTAGCTACACGTTTTCTCATAATAATTCTTTAAGGTTATATTTACTACATTATTACATAACTCGGCATACTTCAATTTCCTTACAATTGCTACATTCATACCATACCTTTTGTCTACACCAGCGCCATTCTGGAAGGTTTTTGAACTGTTATTGATAGAAAACGCTGGACACTTTTTCACATTTTCTCCCAAAGGGGTGTTACTCCTTACCTCTACTCTCCATAATCTATTAAATGACAATTGAAAAAAGAACAAAAAATGTACGCCATGTTGAAAGGAAGACATTTTCCCTATGTTCGATATTATCGCCATCTTTTTTCCCTTTAACCTAAGTTGAAACTTGTTTGAACTCGTCTGAACGTGTCTGAATCTTTGGAAAGAATTGTCGGAGAGCATCCGAATTTCTTAGAAAACATTTCTCGTTCTTCCGGAGCATCTACGGGTCGCACTTTTGTGCTATTCAAGGCATTTCGAAGAATCACTTAAGAACTCAGCTATTTTCACTCCCCAGGAGAGCTAAGCATGCTTTTCTTTTCCGCGTTTCTTCGACTTTTTTCTAGTTTACGCCTCGCAAACCGCTTCCTGCATCTTAAATTTCATTCTTCTCTCTTTTTCCCTTTTCTCTGTGTGTTATGTGTGTTTATTTTCTTTTACATTTCTTTTTCTTTCCGTCCTATTTATAACTACAAACATTTTATTGTCGTACAATCACACACATTACATTCTATTTTATGCTATTGTTCAATTTTTTTTTTTTTTTTTTAATAAAATGGGTCAGAAATTTTCTATAGACCTCTAATTTGTGTTACAATCTTTTTTCTTTCTCGAATTCGTATTCGTCATGTAATTTATGATCATTTAAATCGATTGTATTCGATTTATCAATCTTACAGCAACCATAATCACACGTGTCCTACCATATACCTTATGTATGTAAGAATATACAGTAAAAGAAGAAAATTTCTATCGAATTCTTCGCAAGCCTCATGAAATTCTTTCTTTTTTCAATTTTTTTTTTCCTCGTTTACTTTCACCGCGATTGTTTTCAACGATTCTCTCACATTATATCTTTCAAATCGCTCGTTATAACGCCCGCGCAGAAACATTTTCACTGTAATGATTTTATCGCTACTACCGTGTGTTACACACACCACGATAAACACCGCGAAAATGTACATTGTTCGATCGTTAACTTGCTACACAACACATTCCTTAAAAAATAATTTGACGAAAAATCATTTTCTTTTACTTTATCGTATTATAATAATCATTCGTGCAGTTAATAACACTGAATTCCAAGTTTCTTAGCTACATTAAAAAAAAAACACAAAAATATCCCATATTATTTATCGAGATTCGATGAAAAACTTTGATTAGAAGGAGCTACGAATTAGAGGTCAAGCGGAATGAGGTCAGGCAAGCAAGTTTTTTTCTTTTTTTACTAATCAAAGATATGCAAATTATAAGTAACACAAAAAGAAGACAAAACAAAAGAAAAAAATAGAAGGAGATTAGATTAGGAAAAGTAAATTTAGTGATTCCATTTTTAGTCATTCCAACAATGGCGTATTAGAATACCTCGTGTAAAAGCTATCCTGGGATTTACTCAAACATCCCTCGTACAATTTGAACTATCTTTTATAGAATAGGTTAACCTAATTGGTTGATCGGTGTTTCTAGATGACGTCATTCTCGGTACTCAAATAGATAAACGTTGAAATAGATGAAATTGATGAAATTTATTCGTGCATCTGGTGCTTGCGTTCCCAAGAGTCCGCCATTATATAAATGAAAATAGCACACGCGGATGGGTATCGATGGGGTTGATCGATAGATCATCGATAGATCATCGATAGATCATCGATAGATAGATTTATAATCTCTGTTAAGATCTCGGGTCAATTCCTTCGTGACATCATCGTCGTATTTGTAGGAACGGCCTCAACGACCTCGCGGCACTGTTGGCAAACGGCGAACAAGGCCGACTACTTCGCCACATGTAACTTTTACTTATTCCGCAGGAGCACCTACGTTTCACTCGCAACGGATCGCGACCGAAAGGAGCATTAATCACCGGAGAGCCTTCGACTTAAAGGCAACCTCCTGTCGACGGTATTCGAGTAACTCCGCTTTCAAAGGACATGGAACACTTGTTCAACGAGTTTCATTCGAGAGTCACATTTTTCGGACTATTTTTTCTTTTTTTCTTCCGTCTTGTTAAGTCATCATGATTCTATTCTTGTAATTAGAACAGAATTTCAAATAATTAAAATATTAGTGACGTTAGAAAATGTAGTTTACCAACGTGGAATAGTAATCCTCCATTTCACCTGGAACTACCTGATCCCTTTGCATATCCAGTAGGGTACCTGAGTATTTACAATGTTTCGGGTCATCTAGATTTTTAAAATGATGTATCATAAAACAGTTATAAAATCAGGGCCATGAAGGGCCATCTTTAATCCCTTGACAATAACGAATTGCGTATAGGTAACAGGGTTTATGACAATGCGTATCGGATTGCCGATAGGTGTTCCCTTCTTTCCTTTTAACCCATTTTTTTTCTTATACTAATATTAATAAAAATACGATGTCCCATATATATATAGAACCTCCTATGCATATACATAAAACCCAGTTTCTTCTCATAATCTGCAAAGAAAGCAAATCGATTTTGTGCAGACAAAGAGAAAGACTTTCCGTGTCGGTTCACTGCTTCGAATTATTAAATTCGAGCTGGAGATATATCAGTGAGTTAGAAAAATGTAAGATTTATCGTTGAAATAGACATATATGCGTCCTAACGTAATACAAGTAAATACATACGTATAAAGTTTGAAACCGGTACCCAATAGGGTCCATCGTATACACGTTCACTGTTTTTCCGAGCTCTAGCAAACGGATTCGCGGCACACAACAGCTTGAGATTAATGCGCATGACTTGCCATTTGTAAAAGCTCCGAAGCCGAAGGCGGCATTTGTCGTGCTCTCTCTCTCTCTTTCTTTCTTTCTTTCTTTCTCTTGTATTTAGAAACCGGTTAGACCAGATACCGAATATATAAAAGGAAAGACGTTTTAAAGTACTTTCCCGTTAACCAACGTGAAGCGGTGCGTCACATTTACCACTTCTTCTTCTTCTTATTATTATTATTATTATTTTTTTTCTTTTTCTTTTTTTTCCTTTTTTTTTTTGTTACATTCTTTTTTATATTATTTTCTTATCCTTTTATGTTTCAGCCCTTTTTATAAGTTTTTTTTTCTTCTTTGTTACTCCACCTATACAACTTTTTCCCTTTTTTTGCCTTGTTTGAAATACGTAGTCATAAACCAATCATCGTCGTTTACCACGACCCTCTTCGACCTGAGCGCACTCTTACGACGCAAACTTTCTAATATCCCCCACGTGACTTGTCCCATCCGGGACGAGCGCCATTTTCAAACATTTGCCGAGGGAACATTTGAAACGTGTTGGCTAATCGAGAACTAATCGATCTTAAACGACAACGTCGTTTGGATAGTAACTCTTATAGCTGTCATTTCAATCGACGAGAAAACGAAAGTGGTTTCGTTCTGGAGAAGTCGTTTCGAACAACTTTTTTTTTTCTCTTTTACTTCTTTCTTCTTTTCCCTCCTTTTCTCTCTTTCTCCTTTTCTCTCATTCTTAAGTTATGTCGACACGTAAGAAAAAAAACTTGTGATAAATCACTTTATGAAATACGTGTTACCTCGAATCGAGAATAATTCATTTCCTGTGCGAGTTGAAAAAAGAATTTTAAATGAAAAAATTTAACGTAAGCACGTGGTTAACCTTTAATTCATTATGAATTCGTATAGAGCTCGACTATTTTGTAAAGCCCTTACGCGTCCATTAGAATTTTTAGTTAATAATAGTAAAAAAAAAAAAATCTTTAATTTCCTGCCTTGGTTGAGATGTGATTTTGATTTTATATATCTCAACTGAAAATGTGTAGAAAAATAAATGACTACAACGACATTGTGTGTCGTGAGGTTTTTTCTAGACGTTCCAAACGATCAGTTCGAAAGTTACTCGTCGAAGAAAGAAATAGAAAGAAATGTTAAACATTCGGTCGCGAGTGATTGGTCAACTGGAAATACAAACAAGCTCTCCAATCATTCTCTTTCTTATCGTACTTATCTCAAACTGGAACTTCGAGAAATGATCTTTCTTTTTTTCCTTCTCTCTCTCTCTCTCTCTCTCTCTCTCTCTTTCTCTTTCTGTTTCTATGAAATGATAGTTAACCGAGAGTACCAATTGCACACTTCACGCTCGAGCCGGTACATATTTTACACGACACAAGTTAGCGACTTTCACGTTCGACAAAACGTCCGCAGTAGTCTTTTCTAACTAACGACTACGATTTACAATCGTAATATAAATGCATTACTCTCAATGATACATTTCAAACTGGATCTTTGTTTATTTTTAATCTCAGAAAAGTGATTTAAAACATTCAAATAAAAAATGTCATTTTATTTCAATAATATTGTCATTATATATGTAGGTTTTATTTTTATTTTTTTTTTTACTGAGAATACTTGATTACCACGTATCCATTTTTATTCATATTGTTGATTATTATGCAGAAGGCATAATCTCAATGCTTCTCGAATTACAATTATAATAAATTTGTCTTTTCTTGATTTTAGATTTGAAATCAATCTTAACGGAACTAAAGCTAGAGGAGAAAGAAATCTCTAAAGATATTACATCATATTTTGGGTAAAAACTCGGAAACAAGGGTGATAAGACACGTGACGTATTTCCAGAAGAAAGCACAAAAGGGAAAACCTGAAAAAGAAGCGAAAATGGGTGAAAAACGTGGTACGAAAGCTCTCGAGCTCTGGTGCAGACGAATAACCGAGGGTTATCCGGGTGTAAACGTACAGAACATGACCACCTCCTGGCGAGATGGACTTGCATTTTGCGCCATGATTCATCACTTTCGTCCCGACCTCATGTGAGTACAACACCTTCTTCATGAAAATAATATTTTCCTATCTCAGTAATCTTTCTGCTAAACGATTCTGTCGTCAAATTTTAATCAAGTATTTGAATTATTGACAATTAATTAAGAATAATTTAAACAAAAAAAAAACACTTATCGAAATTTCGATAAGAGGGTCAAGCAGAAATCACGTTAATGAAATGAAATGCCTTATCATCGGTATAAACGTAGTCGTAAAGTTGTCGATCGCAAATGGCTAACTACCAAACGGATTACCCCCACTGTTAGACTCTTAGTTAGACCGATGATTCATCCACTTTCGTGCTGACCTCGTACATTTGTGTTACGATGACCCTGACTACTGTCTTGGTTAGAGGACGAGTCAGCAACCGCATGATGTGCAAAATGCAGAACGGCTTCGACCTTTCCTGTAGGAACACGTTATTGAGCTATATAGTATACCAACACCTTTTACGACTTGATAAGAAACCTAAAGCTTGTTTTCCGAGACTCTTTCCAAACGATCTTTATGCATCATTCACTTCTATTTTTATGTCGGATAGATAATATCTCGAGTAAGAGAGTGTCGTATTTGTTCCGGGTAAGATTGATCGACGTCTATGTTTTATTGAAAATTCAAAATGGCGAATCCTAACCTCGAAGACATTCGTATCTTTAGAGCTTCGAGCAAATATATAAATAAAAAAAAGGAATAGAAGGAGAAGTATATTGCAGCTGTTTAAAAGAACAATGGATTCCTTTCGAAGTTGTTATCTAATTTGGCGTTCTTATATCACATGAAATATAAACACTAGGGTGAGTCAATAATTATGTCCAATGTAATGGCGTTCTTTCGTGTGTTGACTGTACTATCTACTACTATCCCTCGTATTAATATTTGCGTTCTTCCTTCTATGTCGACTTTACTGTTCTCAACAGGCCAACTTTGGCTACATTTTGTTTATCGCAATATTAACAATGACCTTCAGTCACTGTCCTAAAACTCCGTAGAAACTTTTCGGTGGGCTTATTTGTCCAGTGTTCATTTTGTTTCAAACAAACACACACCCGCACAAAGCGAAGTGGTCATTGTTAATGTCACGATAAACAAAATTGAAACAAACCGGGAATTGTTCAAACCCTGTCCTCTCCAGCCTTAGTAACAGGAAAAGCTAAAATATAAATATACGAGCAGAAAGCCGACACACAGACAAAAAATAGCATCACATTGCGGATAATTATTGACTCACCCTCGAGTAAATAAATCATGAAAGTGGTCTATCGATCACTTTCGTATTCTTCTTTATGGGGGATGATGAAATGAGAGAAAGAGAGAGATAGAAAGAGACAGATCGATACTATAGCCTAGAGCATGACGACTTTAGGGCGCCTCCGGTCACTGACATTCGAACTCGACTCTTCTTCTATTATTTGCTAAGTTTCCTTTTATTTCCTTGACTCTACTGTGTTTTTTTTTTTTTTTCCCCCTATCTACTACATCTATCAAATGTATTATATCCACCAAGTCGTAATTCTAAAGTTCATAGTTCACCAATTAGCGTAGGAACAACAAAATATATCAATTAGGAGGAAACTAGGAATTAAGGTAACATCGAACAGTTAATTAGAAGCTTGTGTTATACGATTTTCAAACGGTTTGAATATTTTTGTTCACATTTCCAATCAATGTCCAAGCAGAAATTCAATTGGTCTTTGATCGATAGTGTCTCTATCTTTCTCTCTCTCTTTCACATATACATGCACGTGTGCTGCGCTCACACGCGCGCACACACACACACACACACGGCTAGGTCCAGACAGTAGAATTCTATCGAGGAAATTTCAATTTCCTGAATCTAATCGTTAGAAAGCAAACGGATATCCTTCGTAATGCGTGTTCAAGCATTCGTTTTTCTGGTCGATAAAAAAAAATTTTTTTACTCCATGGCTTTCCTCTGTTACACTTTGTTTTTTTTTTTTCAACAACGAAATGAGAATTTTCCTTTTTTTTCCTTTCTCAAACCATCGAGTTTAGTTTAGTTCCTTCCTTTTGTGGGGTCCTTTGAAGCCCAATCAATGGTGGACCAAAATATGGGAGAGTAATATTTTTCGATGGCAGGTTTTGCGAGAGGTGGTGGTAGCTTGGGTTGAGCTTTGAACAGGAAGATTTATTTCTTCTCAATTATTCATGAACTACGCGAAAAGATATTAAACAAAGAAAAAGAAAAAGATAAAGAGAAAAAAAAACAGAACAAAATTCTTTAGGAACTTTTTAGCTACCTTACAATTTTTTCTTTTCTTTTTTGGCTTTATATTCCGACAGAGTGAGTCTAATGTTCCCTCATCATTCGAATAAAAATAACGGATTTTTTTTTCTTTTCTTTTTTTTACCAAAAAGAATTCAAAAATCATTTTGCATTTATAGGAATAGAAATCGTTGCTATGATAAATAGAATTCATTCGTAAAAATATAGAATTGATCGTATCATCTCTGGTATAATTTAAAAACTGTATTATATATCTTCTTTTTGGTTGCTGTGTATAAAAAAAAAAAAAAAAAAAAAAATTAGAAACGCGTTTGACATAACGAGATTGTAATCCGTAACATAAATCTATGACATAGAGGAAGGCGGGACTATGAACTACGCCTTCGACTATGCGGCTACGTTAGATCGCATGACTAACGATCTATGTATTCCTGCTTTCGTTATACGTCAAAATTATTTTACTTATTCCTACGTAAGGCTCTTCAAATTATTATTATGTTTTTTGTAGGGCACTACGTCGTGGTGCGTGTACGCAACAGTGCAGTCTTTTAAAAGAAATTCAAGTTTACAAACTACATGCGTTAAACAAAAAAAAAAAGGAACAAAATAAAACAAAACATTTTCAGACCTAAATTTGTACAAACTTCTTTTTTACACTTACCCGATTAACATAGAGTACAAAAGTTTGACCTCAACCTTTTTTTTTTTTTTTTTTTTTTTTTTCTTTTTTAAATATCCTTTATATAAAAATTGTATAACCCAGTTTACGGGAGAGAATATAAAATAAAAATTATCCGTGAGGCATTTGCCATCGTCATAGTAGTAGTCGCTGTGAGGTTTACCAAAAAAATGAGAGAAAGGAATTTGTCGCTATCGTTTTTCACCCTAGTACTCAGCTCATTCCGCTTTTGTAATCGATCGGGAAACAGAGCATGATGAGAGAGAGAGAGAGAGAGAGAGAGAGAGAGAGAGAGAGAGAGAGAGGAAGGAACGTAGTACAGCATCCCTCAATGATCAAGGGAGGAAAAATGTTGTACAATCTATGCGCATGTGCGACAACACACACTTTCGCCAAATCTCTTCTCCGATTTCTTTTGCTTCTTTGTTGATTAATGGTTTTTTTTTCCTTGAGAAACAAACAAAATTTATCGCCGTACTCCATTATTCTTGTATTATTTTCAACGATATATTTCTTTTTCTTTTTCATAATTTTTATTATGAAATCCAAAAAAAAAAAAAAAGAAATGAAGGATACAGGTTATAAATTGATTCAATCAGTTTTATTTTTGTGACGCATAACGATCCAATTTTCTTTTTTTTGTTTTTATGGTTGAAATTATTAGTGAAATTAGTTACATAAAAGAGCATTTCTTATTTCGTTTGGGCAATCCTCGTTGATGACCTTTGAATTTCACCGCTCAAAGGTTCCCGCCTTTTTTCTGATCCAACTATGGCGGCGTTTACGATTGGTAAAGAAGAAGGAACACCTGTTTGGTGTTTCACTTTCACCGGTGGAAGGAGGAAGCCTTCGTTCTTTGAGGAAATTCTCACGCGATTCTCTTTCTTCCTGAATCCCTCTCTTCGCAAGTTGACTCTCCGACGTATAATCTGATGTCTTAATCTCTCGGAACGCGAGATCTCACTTTCGGATTTATCCTTGTCCTTGGAAAAAAAAGAACAATTTTCTGTCGTATTTTAAGAAAAGATAACAATCCTTCTTAATTTTATGAAACAAAAAGAAAAGAATTTCCCAACCTAAGTGGTTAAATCGAACGCGTGTTTAGTCGTCTCCCTATGCTCAGGGATATTGGAAGCTGAGAATAAAAATGGCGGCCAGAAAAAGAAGATGCAACAAAAGAAGAAGAAGAAGAAGTTTTTGCTCGAGCAATAAACGGAGAAGAGAAAAACGATAGAGAGATAGGGTTATGGCACAAAGGGGAGAGCAAGAGGAAAAGGTGGATGTGGTGTAAGGGGAAAGGGGACAGGGGGTTCGGGGTGGGTGTGGCGGCACCGGTCTGCTGGACCTCTGAGTCATCGTCTTTCGTCTTTCGTCCCAGACAAGCACGTTCGGGTCGATTGCCAAGAGTCGAAGAGCCGGTTATGCACACATACAAACACAACATATGTATAAATGAGATATAGCTATTCGTACAAGTGAGCCCCACGTGTTGTCTGTATGTGTGTGTATTCTCTATATCAGAGAAATTACTCGTAGAGGTTCTTCTTCTTCTTCTTCTTCGTCTTCGTCTTCTTCTTCTACTTCTTCTACTTCTTCTTCTTCTTCTTCTCGTAACCATTCACCGATCCCACGAACGCTACTTGAATGCGATATCCTTCGCAAACGTTCCTGATTTCAAAGCTTAACCTTTTGTATTCTTTACATTTCCTTTCTTTCTTTCTTTATTCCCTTATCCTCCTTTGTATGGAAATATAATTAGAGGAATTTTTTTCTATTGATATTTTATTATTCAAAAAGAAAAAAGTAACACGTATATATATATATAAAGAGAGGAGCTTGTTCTTCACCGGAAGTAGTCGATGTTATTGAAGATTATTGTTGCATCAAATGAATAGTTTAAATAGCATTAATTATAGTTTTAACCCTTTCGTTATAAGTATCCCTCGATTAGCAAGAAACGTTGTAAACAAAGTAAAGCGAAAATTCCAGCATATTTTTCGTTTTCCATTCTCGAAAGATCAGCTTTAGTTTCAATATCGTCGGAAAGCTGTTTCAGCATGACAAGTACGCGCTTTGCGTCGGAATTCGAGCGTAATAGTCGATCTCCTCTTCTTCCTCCTCCTCCTCCTCCTCCTCCTCCTCATCCTCATCCTCATCCTCCTCTTCCCTTTTCTACGTTTCCATCGTTTCCATATGGAGGAAGAGGAAGAAGAGAAAAAGGAGGGTTGGAGTTAGAGGAGTCATAAAAACGGTCGGAAAAATTTTTGATAGGAAGATGCGACTCGTGTCGTGTAGGAGCGAGGTCAAGTGCCAATGTCGAATGTCCTGACGACTTTCGACCTAGAATTTCATGCTCGTTGCTCGGAATGACGACGAGTAATAAGCCGACGACGGCAGTAGCTGTGCGCGTATATGCTGCATATCGATTTGCTTAAAATAGAAACGTTTTTGGTATAAGGATAACCCTCTTCCTTTGAAGAAAAAAAAAAAAAAGACAAAGAAAAAAGGAGTTCAAAGAAAAAATTATATTTTACATACCTACGCGCGTAATTCGATTGGTCTAGTTCGATATCTTTTTTTTTTCTTTTGCAATTTCCAATGGTTTTTAATGAAATTATTAATAAATTATCGATTAATGTGAATATTCATAAGACATTGAAATCTAATTTTATCCAAGTGATTTTTCGACAGTACGTTGGAAGAGGAGACCAATAACCAATATCCGTTCTTGTTCTTCGAATTCTATCCTCGATTTTGACAAATCGCGTATTCACTGGTTTACATCATCGTAACTGATCGATTCCACGAACAAGCCCGCATTGATTTCTATGCATCTTTCAGTAACGTTAAGTCTCCTATTTTTTATTATAGCCTTTGTTAGGAACAAGTTTCATTTGACCCTGCTGGTAGTAGTATCTGCGTAGTAATAATAAATCGCCTCTTTCCCCCCCCCCTATAAAATATGCACGCTTTTGTGCTAATCCTCAAAATCGTTGGATATAACTTGTCTTTCGAGTAGAGCTTCCTTTTATTAGCACAACTTTCATACGACGATTTCATACCGATATATTACGTTCAAGTTTTAGCCAATCTTTGTTGACAGTGTCAGAAATATTCTTTCAATTGGGTGGACTTGTAGTTATTACTTCGGCTAAGATTGTTTTTAAGAACAAATTTTAGAAAACAAAATTGTAATATTATTTAATGATAATAATAATAATAATAATAATAATAATAATAATAATTAAAAAAACAAAAGTTAAATTAAATGTTAATTATGAATTGTTAAAAGGTTCGAATAAAACTCCATTTGCACGACACGACAGCGACGTCAATAGCGTTTAACGTCGTTAATGAATAAAACCTTGATCTCAATCTCTTTTTCTTTTCCTTTTTTCTTCTTCCTTTTTCTTAACCTTTTGTCTTTATTTCGCAGCGATTTCAACAGCCTTAACAAGGACGACGTCTACGGGAACAACGAGCTGGCATTCAGAATTGCCGAGCAACATTTAGGAATCCCCGCTCTTTTGGACGCCGAAGACATGGCTTCCTGTTCCGTGCCCGATCGATTATCGATTCTAACCTATCTCTCGCAATTCTATCAAACCTTCAAGGGTAAGCAATTCATGATTTACAAATTGTAACTAACAAAATTATTCTTTGAATTACTTCAAAAAAATCTTTCAAATGGCAGTTTTTTTAATGTTACAGTGGTCATTGTTCATAAATATTTAGCAAATTATTTCTTCGAAGTAAACTAGCGTCATCTACATTGAAGTAATAAGTTTTAAAATGGAGCTTTGAGATGCCATCTGGTTTAAATTTTCGTTGTTTGGTTTTTTTTTTCTTTTTTATTTTATTTACATTTAATTATGTTGACTAATTTACACGCGAGATTTATTTCTTAAATTGAATCACAACTAATCACGAATCTTTTATTTACGTATATAGGAAGAAATACGGACAAAGTTTTGAATATAAACGAATCAAAAGTGAAGAAGACAGAATACAGAACGTAGAAACGGGATGGAAAATTGGCAGTATATTAGAAGATATATATACGGAAGAGGTGTTGTTCATGATTGTTTTGCTTTTGAATTTATCTTCTTAAGTTTTACAAACGGAAAATGGTTCCTACTATTACTACTATTACTAACTCTCTCTTTCTCAGTCAATAGAATGATTATATTATTTTCCTTACGGCGTAAACAAAAGATACTTGCAAACAAGTTTATACAGTTTAACATCTACAAGGGTACGCGTTTTAATTCTATTTTATAAATGTTACAAGTTGTTTCTTAGCTACTAACGAATCCAAATTTCTCTCTTTTTTTTTTAGCGAATCTGCTCGACCAATAATGTTATTTCCTTTTTTTTTTCTTAATTCACGCTTTGAATAATATTATTAAACGTATCGTGTAGATTAATTTCATTTAATTGTATTGTCAATTAAAAAATTTGGTATGAAAATTATAAAAAGTAGAAAAAATTGCTTTTGTAAACGTTTGAGATATTTATGCAGCGTGCACCGCATATAAATATTTCAAATGAATATCCATAGAGTATTATTTAGTTTGAACGCTTGCGTATCTCCTTGGGAGTGAGAAATCGAGTTGTAGATCCGTCACGTGCAATTTTAGTGGTAGACCATTCGCGGTTGGTGTTGCACGTCCGATCGACGGACGTGACGTTTCAAACGTCACATTGAGTTAACGTCTTGTCGTTACTAAATAGGCCAAATAGGTTGCAGCATTCCAGGAGAGTAAGAGAAAGAGAGAGAGAGAGAGAGAGAGAAAAAGAGAGAGAGAATTAGAGAAACGTTGCGTGTACTAATACATATCTTTTATTATGCAGGATGTTTCGCATAATTTCATTGCTTATCTTCGTTGTTTTTCTTTTTATTACAAAAAAAAAACCAATATCGTAGGATACAATTTTTTTATATAGAAAATAGGAACAATATTTATATAACACTTTTTTACTTACTGTACAATTATAATTTATGAATTAAATTTATTTTTCATAGAAATAATATAACAGTACTCTCACATTATATACAAACACATAGAGTTTTAAGTAGAACGTCGTTAAATAACTCGCTTACTTTCTTCCTTTTCATGATCCACTGGAGAACCGTGTGTGTGTGTGTGTGTGTGTGTGTGTGTGTGTGTGTGTGCAACTGTTGCATTGTTTCGTAGATTGACGTCTCATACAGTTTCCTTCATCGTTAAGATTAATCCGTCGTCGTCGTCGTCGTCGTCGTCGTAGTCGTTCTTCTCTCTTGAACCAACTCGTTGGAAGATAATGAACACCACAGAGAGAAAATAAAAGAATACCTTTCTCGTTCTTCTTGTTTCGTACGGAAGTATGCGTCAAAATCACCAACGAAGAAGATAATAATCGGTGGAAGAGACAAAACATACTCCGAAGGAATTAATTACTCCGATTTTTTTTCCACTTTCTCGTATTCAATAGGGGAAAGTAAATTGAAAATTTTTCTTAAACGATGAATGGTTTTCTTTCGATTTTTTCTTTATTTTTTAATTGTTTTATTTTTCTTTTTTAATTTTTTATGTTTGTATAAATGTCTGCCCCCCCCCTCTCCTCCTAAAAATTATCAGTATTTTTAATTTTGTGTGCTGTTGTTAAAAATAATTAAAAAAATGTTCACATGTAGTCGTTCGTCTTTGTTTTACAAAATGCTCAAATAAAATACAAATATTTATTTAATTTATTTATTTATTTATTTATTTATTATAATCATTTAAGAAAGTGTGAATAAATTTGGATCATTCGAAAGTTTATTCGCAATAAATTCGTGTCTTCTTCTCATCCAAAGAAATAAAACTTGCTTCTTGACTTATTAATAAGCTTATAAAGTAAATAAAGTTGTTGAGAGACAGAGAAAGAGAAAGAAATCTTTATGGAGTCCTTACTTGACGATAATTAAATCTTTTATTAGTATTGATGTATATATATATACGTATGCGTGTTTATGTTTAATTGTATTGAGACATCATATACGGCAGAAGTTTAAAAGCTTAAACAGCCACTTGTTGAATTTTCTTCACAGATTTCTATTCATTTATTTTGAATCTTTCTCTCTCTCTCTCTCTTTTTATTTGTTGTTAAATTTGAAACTATCTATGAATTTAATTAAAACGATACATAGTATTTTTTTGTAGATTATTTATTAAATTGTATGTTGTCATTATCGTAACTAGATCATGAAATTTTCATGATATTTTCTCTTTCTCTTGCTTTCCTTTCTCTTCTATTTTTTTGTTTGTCTCTATTGGGGACAGGAAAACGTAACTCTATGTATTATTTTCAATATCACAATCCAAGTTTCCTTTATGTGTTTTGTGTGTGTATGAATGACGAGAGAACACAACGATGACAAAGCTAGGTCGAAATGAAATTTCCAGCCTGTCAGAATTTATGAGTAATTGCGAAACTCAGCTGGCAGTCGAGAGTACCACACACATATATATATATAGTACTTTTAAGATTTGCAATTAATATATTTGCTGTATGTTAAAAGAGCATACTGTCATTATGATTATTTAAGAGAAAAGAAAGAAACATGTAGTAGACACTTGGAAATTGATGTGTGTGTATGTGTGTGTAAGAGAATGTAAACGTTTTGAGATCGTTAAAAGATCGTTTATTATTTAACTGATATTTGCTTATATTTATTACCATTGTTTCACCACGTTTCACCTGTTATTATACAACAGATGTGTGTTCCAAATGAATGAACAATTATTCAATTTGAATTACATTATTCTATCTGTTATTCAATAATCAAGAAATTTCAATTAACGTTTTTTGTAAAGAAATCTCTATGTACTATTAGTATTATTTTTCTTTTCAATTTTAGAAATATTTAACGATGTTTATATTAAGGTCGAGTCATAAATAATTTCCGTTTTTTATGAGACAAAGAATGGCGTTTCTACGACTGATAAGTGCAAGACACCTTTCATGGAGTTTTTTTTTTTTGCACTATTTGCATCTGATGGACGTATCTATTGGATTTTGCTCCAATATTACCTTTAAAAGGTTCGTCAAAGTCGGAAATACGTCCTGCACTCGGTTCATCTTTTAAGATCGTATCTCCAGAACGGAATTTTATTAGGTGGTTTGAAAAGTCGTTTCGTTGTTCTTTTGTAAAAGTGAAGATAATTTTTGCTTCGAGGTTAAACCTTTCAAATGGTCATAAATAGTTGAATTTGATAAATTTAACGTCTCATCGATCTCATGTGTTACTATTTGTCGATTTGCATCAACTAATGCCATTATTGCATCAGCAAAAAGCGAAACGACTTTCCGAACCACCTAATACAAACCAATTTCTGACTGCCTTATCAATTATCAGTCCTGCACTGTATACGCTGCATATTTTTTCAGTTGCCACCTTAGTGCTATTGCCTTGTTTCAATTCCTAAAGCATTACATGTCGAATATGAACTTTTTACTATCGATTTCAGTGTTTAAGAAAAACGGTTAACCCCTTGAGTACTGAATTATTTGAAAATTTTTATGTATACATAACGAATTTAATTTGTTATTGTAATTATATATGGATTAATATGTAAAAGTAATACATTTTATTTGAAATATATTTATATTGATGATATAAATATATTTTTGCAACAACATTTTAATTACTAAATATTAATAAATATTATAAATAAAACAAAATACCCAAGTAAGCAGATGACGTGTCTCACTCGTCAAATGTACCCAAAGGGTTAAATGTAACATTGACTGCATAAAAAAGTTAACAGAAGACTAACTGAATCCTCATCTATATAGTGATATCAAAAATCCGTTTGTTTCAGTGACTTATAATAGGTAAATACGAAAAATAGATTCTACATAGCCGCATCGGAAGTTATTTATGACTCGACCTAATATATCTGTATCTTTGTAACTTTCTTTACCGTTAATATGTGTGACAACTGTGTTGCAGTGTGAAAAATTTATGAATGATTTAACTCTATAAACATTATTTCTCGATATTTTTTTAAGATAAATGAATAACTCAAACTTCCGGCTTAACTAGAAAAAGTAAACGAATCAAATTCGCGATAAAAATAATCGATGAATAATAATAAAATGAAATAAAATGTATTAACAAATGTTTGTATTTATTTCAGGATCATCTCCAAGCCGTTTAGCGACGAACAGAACAGTCGAAACAACGGAAGAAAGAATCGCCCCGGTTCCAGAATCACCAAAAACCAAGGTATCGATGCAACAACATTTGCAAATAATGTTAATTATTAAATCAAAGCGTTAGAATTCTTTAAAAACAATAAAAAAAAACAATAACAAAGAAACGGGGGATGTAATAAAAGAAAAATTAGAAAAAAAAACTTTCGCTTTTCGTAACTTTTCTTTTGCCGGCTCTATTTTTCTTCATCTATTATATAATTTTTTTTTCTTCTTCTTCTTCTTCTTCTTCTCCTTCTTCTTAATTAATATACATTATTTGATATTCCGTAGTTGATTGTTATTATCATTATTATTTATATTATTATTATTATATTATTGTTATTGTTGTTGTTGTTATTGTTGCGCAGCAGCAGGCTTATGGAGCAGCTCTCATTTTTTTAAAGCTTTAAATCAAAGCGTTCGTCAATGAAGCTATTTTTTATTTTCTATTTCTATCTATTTCTCCTTTTTATTATTATTTCATCGAGCTTTTTAATCATTGAGCATGGGGTGCTTAAATGTTGCGAATAAATTTTTAATTATATTATTTATATAATTATTATTTTATATTTTTTCGTATTTATTGATATAATAAAACAATGAAACAAAATTTTTAATCTTCAAATGTATTCGCAATATTTTATAGTACGCAATTCTGCGTTATTACACGTCCATTTGCGAAAATTCGTTGTCATCGTCATAGCTAAGATCATCAGCTGTTAAAAAAAAAGAAACAAAATATATCCTAAAAATTGAAAATACAATTACAAGGAGGAATCATTGCTAATGCTGCTGCTTTTTTCTTTTTTTTTTTTTAAATATCGTAGCTTTTTTTCTCAATAATTGTTATTATTTAAATAAAAATGTCATCTTTCTTTGTTAACCTCTACGAGGAATAAAAAATGGCGGAGGATATATTGTCATGTGACACGAGATAAATTTTCAATGGCGTTCATCGTTCTTTTCTGTTAATCAAATTTTCTTCTTCTTCTTCTTCTTCTTCTTCTTCTTCTTCTTCTTCTTCTTCTTCTTCTTCTTCTTCTTCTTCTTCTTCTTCTTCTTCTTCTTCT